TCTCTTAGAGAGCTATGAGAAATCCTGAATTATTTGTCAAGAATCTACTTCCTTCAGTCCTGACATGCCACAGATTGGATTTTGTCGATGCAGGGAATACACACACAGAGCAAATGGTGAAGAAACCTCGTTATCCAGGTATCAGGCAGCTGCTTGGGAGCCATTAGTGGGCAACAGTGGCATGGGCAAGGGCCTGCGTGCAACACCTGGAAACAAGTTCTGTGTATGTCCCTTTGCAGTGTAATAAGGTTGCAAATATAGATATATGTACCATGTATTTGATAATCTAAACTCATACTCTGTTGTGCTTGTTAGGGCAAAATCATGTGTAATTCATAGCACTATGGCAACTGTTTAAAGTGAGAAAAATACCTTTTTCCTGCAGTAGGTTATATCTAAAACTTCCCCCATGTGTTTTTATCTCTCTGCTCTGCTGTTTTGTCCAAAAGGAGTGTTTGAAGACTTTCATGTTTGTCTGGTCTGCATAGGAAGATATGAACACCTTTTCAGTAGAGGTATATGTGCTGAAATTTTGAACCTCCTTTTAAGTTTGATATATGGACTAGAGAAAGCCTTATAGGTTCAGGCAATGACAGATTTATGTTGCGTGTACCAGTCTTCTGTGCAATCTTGTTGCAGTAACTCTACTGCTTCCACAAACTATTAGCAAAAGTAGTTTGTGGAAATAACCAACTCATGGTGCTGTCAAAACTCTGCAAGTAAACACGTCACCCTTAGAAGTACATGAAACCCAAGACCCAGAGAGGATGGAAATTTAGGCAGAAAACTAGAAATGAAAAATAGCTTTCTCATGGGAATTCCTTTGCTCCTTTGGAGAGCAAGTTGTGCCTTTCAAGTCGTGTTTTCTGTACACACAAAGGTGTATCAATTGGAACGATCAGTTTAGCAACAGATCCAGTTAGATCGAGACAGCCACCTTGTATGGATGCTCTTTAAACTGATTAAAAGTACCTTATTGCTAAATCAATATAAAGCTTTTTTAATCCTCTTAAACAAGCTTACAATGATTTAGCCAAATCAATCAGCTACTCAGTCAGCTCCAGTAACGGTTCCCAAGAGCGGCCTCACTGCAGACTGAGGCAATAAGCAGTGCTGAGAACGAGGATGGTGGAGGTGGATGTAGTACACGATAATTTTTCATCAGTGCCTGTTGGAGACAAACAAAGTTGTCACTCACATGTTTTTTCTGCAGCAACTTTTGTGAAAACAGGTTGCTCAAACAGTTGGTCAAAGGAACATACAAAGGACAGTAGCACCATCAATGTCTAAAACAACCTTTTAGTTGTGATAACAGGGAATTAAATCCTTAGTGCTCTTATATGAATGTCTTTTTTAACTTTTTTCTAAGTAAAGGAATTTTTCACTGGAAAAACTGCTATTAGTCAATTTGTTGAATGTTGATTTCTTTAAAAATATATATATATGGTAAAGACGTTCTTACTGTCTTCAGTAGCTTTCTACACTTAATTTTTCTTCTAGACCTCTGTGCTAAAACGGATATGCCTAGACTTGTGATAACTTCTTGATAGCTCAGTAGTGAAATACATTGACTGCTTCTTGCCTCGAGGAGTGATGAAGAAGGTTTTTCTGCAGAGATTGGCATGTGTTTACACTGAGGCATTTGTAATTCAGCAGTTTTGATGTTGTAACTTGATAGCACTGCCGAGAAGTCATCAGTTATGAATCATTTTCACAAATGATCACACTTTTGCGCTTTTAAGGTAAACAATATTTGGTATTACACTGAGGCATTTTTGTGATCCTCTGGCAGAAAGCGAACTATGCAGTTTTATTGCTTATTTTACTTTGCGAATAGGTTATGTGTTTTCAGAATTGTAGGAAGCGGCTCATGAAGCTGTTTCCAAGTCAACTGCCAAGCCAATTCATACATGAAATCTTTATTTTTCCTAATGAGCAGCATTTGGATAAGCATTTCTGCTGGTTGCAGGATCATTGCTATTGCCCTCTTCCAGTGCGCTGAATGACTCTAACTTCAAGGGCAGCATTGGGGGAAGGAGAAACCAGCAGGGACTGTTAAAAGCAACTCAGTTTCCAAAAGTTGTCCTCAACATGGCTCCTATTCGATATAAATTTATCCTTGGGATTTTCTGCAGCTTTTGTGTTGATAATTGGCTCACTTGAGGCATTAACCAATTCCTTCACTTGTATTTCTTTATGCTATTGAGGTTCTGTCTGACACAGCGCAGAAAAGTTTTTTGTCATGTAAAGACACTGTTGGAGCAGTGGCCCCTAGAGCTAGGTGGACTTTTGTCACTCAGTCACTATAAATGAACCTAATGTGCTTTATCCTGTCAGGCAGATGGCAATGAATTGAATTGCCTTTAGGTATACATGAGTTTAATATCTTTTCTTAATAAGAGCTTTTCATTTCACATATGAATGAGCATGGTCATTAATATCGCTTATGCAGACCAAGTGTGCTGGCAAATGGTGAAATGGAAGTATGTCAGGCTCAAGTGGTTCTTACGTAGGACTTGCTGCATTTTGGATATCCACTATATATTAAGTAAAGCTGGTCTCAACCGAGAGGACAATATCACTAACAATAGCTGCAACTGAGCATGCTTTATAAAACAAGAAAATTAAAAAGATATAGAAATAATATATTAGATTTGAGGTTGATATTAGTATTAAATAAGGTTGTGCCTTGACAACTCACTTTATGTTCCATGTATACATTTTTCACTTGAAAACAAACACCACATCACTTTTTTTATGAGCAGTTCCAGCAATGCGTTTCTCTACAACCGCTATCCTGTCATACAACTTGTGTTAGTTGCACATAATTACTTTTCACACATACTGGATAATCCTTTAATTAAAATTTTGATGATTAGCATTAGTGAACAATAAATTCAGAGACTGCCAAGTCTGCAGTGTGTTTTTCTTCCCAGCTAAAAGGTTTGCAGTGCTCTTAACATCTGCTAACGTTACGAGCTGGAGTGGCACCTCTCATGGCAAGAGAGATGACAAGAAAATTGTGTGCTGTTTTTATCTGTCAGTACCTGTGGATATATGACCTTGTACAAGGCACCACATTAATTTTAGAATCAACTTTTCAATACCTGAGAATGAAGAAAATTCTGTAGAATTAAATAATTTCCTCAGCCTGAGATGCGCGTTAGTGCCCAAGTATTTAGTATTTAACTAAACTTTGGCACTGAATAACTTCAATTTTAGGTAACAGGCAACAGTAGAAAACATCTTCCATGGCATTTTATGGCATTTTATCCTCAAGGGCCGTATGTGTATGAAAACCTGCAGGGAAATCTCCCATCATCTCCTCAAGGGCTCAGGTTGAGGAGCCCAGATGCTGTCAGTGGGCTGTTCTGAGCACTGCTATGTCTGCTGTGTTCAGCAGAGGAAAACATGAACACCTTAGAGCAAACAAATCCCAGGATTATTTTCTAAAGCTTGTCAAGATGAAACTCACTGTTTTTCTTTCTGCACAGAATTTGTTTACCACTGGTTTTAAATGAATATCTCAAATTTATTCAGGCTGTAGCTTCCAGGGTCAGGCGTGTGAAGGGAGAGGTGGACTTGGCTTGTGCTTGGGGACCCTGGCTGTGCAGGAGGGATACAGTGGGAGAGAGCGATGGCAGAGCATGATCGCTGCCAAAGAGGCTGCCTTGAACAGGGTTTCTTTGACAGGGGATCCATCCCAAGAGATGGACTTTGGCCCAGGACGTTCATCTTGGGTTTTGACCAATCCTTGTTTGTCTTTTGTGAGTCCCAAGCTTCTTTTTTGTGTGTGTGTGTATTTAAAAACCTAGTGAAGTTACAGCTGTTGTACTAGCGCTATAAAATCTGTATTTCTTAAGAGAAAAAGAGGAGCTACTTGAAACTAATACTGTGTTATGACGGGCTTCAA